TCTTGTGCAGTCATTCAGGCCATTCACTGAGCAATTGACTGGGTTAAGTTGTCAGTGTTGTTAGGATCTAACCTCTTAGACTGACTGAGCCCATGCAGCTCATCTAATCCATCAGGTTATTACTCAGATTGTAGACGTTAAGTCATTGCAACTTATTATTATCGGCCGGTATTAGCATAATTATGTAATATCTGTAAGGATCGTTATTGGGTTTTCCTCCGATAATGAAAACCTGATGGGTTTCACAAAATGATGTGCTCTAAAAATAGTCTCGGGGCTAAACGGCTGTATATTAAAGTGAAAGTCACTAGATGGCAGCATTGCAGGCCATTTTATTAATCCATTCTAATAATCAGGGGATTGTATGCAAAATGCTGGTGCCAGCAACACAGTATAACAATAAACAAATACATATTACCGGGCCTATATCGGTATCAGTTGATATCAGAATCGATAATGAAGTGTTCGGAAAACATTGGCATAGCGGGTACCCAGAAAAAGCCCTAATCAATACATTTGTGGAAATCTACTATATGGAGATACATTTACCAATCATGATGGATCCAGACAAATATAGGTCAGACTGTTCTGAAGCTCTTTACAGTTGATTTATCTTGTCTGTAGCTTTACACAGAGCTAACGTCAGCTGGGCTTTCTAAGAAAAGAAAAAACAGCATTTTAGTCCAGAGCTGAGAACACAATTGTTTTTTTGTTTTTTTATCAGTGCTAACTGCCACTGGATTTTCTACAGCATTGTGAAAAGTTGTCAGTATAATTGCTGTAGTGTGGCGCGCTCCATCAGGCTGCCAATCTGCTCCACCTGTTCAGCCAGGGCAGAGAGCTTGTTTTGTGCCAACAGAGAGGAGGCTACACCCTTGACAGCTTCCAGGGTCGGGGCCAAAAAAACAGTTTGGAAATAAATTTAAATATATTAAATAAGATTCCCCCAAATGGTCCATGATGACTGGAAAATATTTAATGTTGTTGAGAATGCAATTTTAGTTCAAACTGTCCTTTTGCACCGTATTGTACTTGAAGTGTTGTAACTGGTAAGTATATCTACTGTTATCAGATTTCCCAGGTTAAACAACACTCACATACTTTTTTACATTTACCTCTTTTTGAAATTTAACTGCATCTATGCTTAATGCTGTGTTGTGTTTCATTTTTTTTCACGCTGTTTCATACTTAATATGCTCTGCTAAATCTGAGTCTCCTTCACTTGTCTTTGTTTTTTTCCCCTGCTGCATCTGTGTTGGAATGGTGAAGGAATCCTCCTCTGGGCCCCAGGTTAGAGCTCTTTTCTGTTTCAGTGATGAGCCTGAAAGAAGTGATAGAATCGTGTGTCCTTTTAATCTTGTCATTGTCCACTGCTACGTTATTCACACAGTTCTGAATAATCCTCTTTATTTCGTCGCTGTACCAAAGACTTCAGGTTTCAGAGGTTTTGATAAAATGTTAACTAACTTTTTCGGTTTCTTTAGAAAGGGTTTATAAGTCGGTCTCACTGATTTTTAATACCTGTGTCTGTCTAGGTGGTTTAAGCAGGGACCAAACCCACACACCAGATCCCAGGACTGGATCTTTTCTGGTGGATACTGGGACAGGAATTACAGCCAGCTTCCAGACATTTACTGATGGGCATTTCCTAAATAGACAGACAAATGTATTCTCATCTAATACCATGTGTACGGAGCGTCGTCCATGAAACCATAACATTCACTACAACTAAAACATATACAGAGTGACTTGATCATGACGTGGCCTTAAGCAGTTTTATATTGGTCAGACTTCAATCATCCGCGGTGATTGATAGTTGATGTAAATGTTGGGCTATGTGTAGCCTTTGTATTTGGACAGAGAGGTCTGTATGTCTTTGAGAAGAGGAGCTGATGCAGTCAAGTTTTAACGTCTTCTTTTATTGTTGTTTATTGTTTTATCTGTAAATTTATATCTGTACATAAGACAAGCACGTACATTTAAATTAGGAGTGATAAAAAAGAAGGAACAAACGACGTCTGTCAGGCTTTAGATTATTATAACACACTGTAAATTAATTGATTTTTGTAAAGAAACATGAATTACTCTGCTTGGTTCTTCACAACAAACTATGCATAATGAGGTCACAAACCCTTAAAAGTATTTAATTTGAAGACATTTTACCCTAAAAAAACTGCAGGACATACTATTTCAATTTACTGTTTTAAAAAAAATAACATGATTGTATTGGTTTATGTTTAAATTTGTGTGTTAGGGATGCTGGAGCAATTTCAGAATTATCTGAGAAATAAAGTGTGATTCAAACAAGTCATTTCTTTCACAAAATAGTTTGTCGGAGTATAACATTTACCCTGGGCATCAGACTTTCATTTGTTAAAACAAAAAACAAATGAACACTAAAGAATTGGAAAGAAAAGAAAAGAAAAGAGATTTATACATCACAGGGTGTATATGTTTTTAAATGTAAAAGTAAAACTTTCTTCATTCGCCAGGTTTCTCTTGGAATATAGGAAGGATCGAGACGCCAATGAGTTTGAGATCAGACGCTGATCTGAGTTTCAGTGAACAACGTGGCAGGGATGACTGCTTCTAATGTGAGAAGGAAAATGTCAGCCGTTACTGACGGCAGCACCTTAAGCTGATGAGATCGATGTGACCTCAGGTAACTCACACTATGACAAAACCACGTGGATAGGGTTCAGTATCTCCACCTCATGGTCACGAGCAGAATAGCAGATTAAACCCAGTTATAAAGCAGGTTTGAGAAGTACCGTTTGTGAAGTTAATTCCCTCCCTTACATTTAAAAGATCTTTCTTAAAAATTAATTAAAGATTTAGCAATTTTGTGTTAGTTTCCAATGTTTTATTTTAAGAAAATCATCCAGTATGGATGAGTCCAGTATTGTTGTTTTGTTTTTTCAGTTTATCCTGAAACAAACACCAAATGGAACAGTCAGTAAAGCTTGAGGATAAAACATGCGTGACTGACCCTAATTAAGAAATTAATTAAGATTTAAATAATTTGGTCTGTTATGTTTGAAGGGCTTTTTGAATTCTGTCTAACACTGGGAGCACTTTAATTAACAGTTTAACAGAAGCCTTTGTCGTCAAATAAATAAATGTAAGGAATTGGTTTGCCACATCATCATGGTCCTCAGAAACACCAGTGGGGGGCAGAGTTATGTCGTGTTGCTTTAGGACACTGACTCGGACCCACTGGACCAGTCACTACACTCTTTGTCAAAGTCAACAGTACATCAGTGTTTTTTTTACCTTGTGTCTGTGGCTCAGGAATGGTGAGGACACGGTCGTAATGTGTCGTGACATCAGGACGTTCAGTGTCTACTGTAAGACAGTGAGAGAATGTGGTTATCATTGTTCCTCTGATCTGATTTCTTCTCATGTGTCCTGGAGTGACTGAGTGTATTAAACTCTGTTGAGGCTCAGCCACAATAGGCTTAAACAGCATGAGCCTGATGGTCAAAGAGAACTGGGCAAATTTTGCAAGCTTACAGTCAGGTGACAATGTTCATTTTGTTTCCATACATAGTACATATTAATGACTCAGTTCTCATTGTTGCTTTTCTCATGGTGTTGGATGATTCTGTTTGTTCCCAGCGACATCTTCGTCCTTTCATCTTCCTCCTCTTGGACGACTTGGTCTTCACACTGAGAGAGAAGTGACGTCTGAGATACAACAGCAGAAATAACGTCTATTCAGATGGAGGTAAAATACAAATGTGTTTAAAATAATCTGGTACATTAGATTATTTGCTCATAGCACCCTCTTTCGGGGAGAGAGGAAGCTACATGCTCTGTACTGTGTTTGATAAACGTAGAGTAAGTGGTTGTATACTCCTGCAACAGTGCTTCTCAAAAACCTTGAAAAAACCATGATTATTGTTTCAAATTTGTATCCAACCCTTTGTCTGTAGAGGTTAGTGATGCAGGATTGGAATTCCCCTCCCTGTGAGTTTTAATCCAAAAAACAGTCCTAATAACTGATGTCCTTTTGTCATGTGGCCGAGTAAATGCTGACTAAAGTCCACTTCTTACCCTTTTATTCTCCTGACTGCAGACAGGTGGTGCCACTCTCCATCACTGTATTTCATTAGACTTCAAGCTGTAATTGTTGCTTTTAATTATTACATAACCATCATCCAGAGACAGTTGGAGGTCAAAGCAGAGATGGAGCTCTGCAGAAGACGAGGTGTTTGTTGTTATTGTGCATGTGGCTCTAAGGAATGGGGGGGCCGAGGGGGGCAGGGGGTAGTTAGCTGAGAGCTGCTGCTGAGCTGTGGACCACCTCTGTCAGTGGTCCTGAAGCCTACACAGACTCTCCCTGGGCGGTCACCACAGACCATGATGGGCAGAGCTGAGTGTATTGTAGCTGTACAACCAAACCACAAACACACAGTAAACATTACATATGTAATTTCATTATAAAATTATTTTGAACCTAATTAATTTACATTTACGTAATTAATTCATGCTTCTTTACTTTGGTTTCATTTCTACACATATTGAATGCAGAAATACATGGTTGAATTCACAGTCACAGTCAGGGAGTCAGCTGACACCATGTGATACACAGGGTATAATATGCTGTGTTCTACTTCCCAAATTAGTGGCGGTTAGAACTGGAAATGATGTAATCCCCACTTACAGTTTTCTTAGTTTTAATCTCTGAGGAAAGAAGGTGTTTTTGTTTCTGTTCATTTTGCAAACACAAAAATATTTCATATTAAAAATGACAGAAATGCTTTGAAAGTAACATTGATATGAAGAGCAGACATCGTTGTCATTTCCTCTACGCTCCTAGAACTAACACGGAGGAGGTTCACCTACTGCTGTTCACTGGAAAAACAAAACAACCCAAATGTACAATTATTCTGAGCAGGTCTTTAGACCTTCAGACTACAGGACCACATAAAGAGAAAAAAAACATCCACCTGGTCAAGATAGAGTCTCCATGGTATGTTGTTCCTGATTCAGCTGAGAACTGAAAGAAAATGCTAAAACTGACTGCTGTAATTAAATATAACAACATCACTATTACTCAACTCAAACCAGAAAAAAAAGTTTCTCTTGATTAATGTAATGACATAGCCTTCTGTTGATAAAATAAAACCAAAAAACATTTTGACCCATTCCTACATCTCCATATATTCCTCCACCATTCCTACATATATTTCCACCTGACATTAAAAACCTCTCACGTTTGTGCACTTCCTGCTGCTCAGTCCCAGCGTGGTCTCTCTGAGAAGAACAGCTTCTAGTTCTCATTTCCTGTACGAGGGACTGAGCCTCCTCCATCATCCTGACTCTGTGGTTTCCAGACACGGGGATGTCAGCCCAACGTCACCTCAGATAACTGTTTCCTCAAAGCTGATAAAACACAATAACAGTGATAAGATTGTTGCTGATGCATCACTGTGCTGGAACTCAATACGGCGCAACATAAAACAATATTTCACAGAGTCTTAGCAGCCGGTCTGACATAATGGAGCAGAATTGAGGGATGATCAAAAACAGCTTTTGGTTTAATGAACAGTCTGGGAGGGGAAAGTATTTATGTGAGGTACTGTGTACTGATATTTCAGAAAAGTGCAGCTGCAGAAAGAAGATCATTAGCAAAAAAAAAAAAAAAACAGAACGGGAGTTATATTATTTTTAGTACATGTGGTACTGGATGTAGTAAAACTGAGTCTTTTAATGTGTTGTAAAGTATTGGACAGCAGGGACAAATATGACATCTGTGTCCATGTTAATGATGAAATGATGATGAAACCTTTCAGATCTGGATCCACTGTAAACACATTTACACATGTATTCAAATCACACCTGATCTGATGTCTGGACAGGTCAGAGCAAAACTGGGAAAAATAAGAAATATGAACTTCAAAGAATATTATATGTATTATAAATATAATATATAAACTAATAACTCTCTTATTCTAAAAAATGATGTTTCTCTTTCTTGACCTTTTATTTATCAGGTAAATCCTGAAGCAGTGAACCTTGGAGTCTTTTACATGAGAGGCATGAAGACGAGCGAGTGGTGAGAAAGACTGGCTGAATGTGAATGTTCCTGAGGTCAGTTCAAGGTTCAGTGAGGTGAGGTTCTCCTCGCAGACATAAATATCTAATATCATAAATATCTATTAGAAACTGCAGAGATGTGAATAAGTAAATGAAGTGTTCATGTAGAAACCAAGATGAGCCAAGCAGAGTGACAGGAGGAAACCACTTTATTAACAGGTTCAACCACTAACATAGCACAAGAGTAAAAACAATCTTTTATTTGAAAAAATAATTGACCTGTTTTCAAACTAAAGCATGAAACAGACTGAAGTTGTATCATCCACAAATAACCCAAAGTCTTTTTTTAATTTTATTAACTATAACTAATAATATGATACACACCTGTTTTAAATGTTTTGCAGTCTAAGTTTAGTTTATAGTTTTTGGTTTAACAGTTTATTCAGTTTCAGTTTATTCAACTTGTACAATAACCATTGATTGGACTAATTCACCTGTTGAAGTGTTTAAGGCTCGTCACAACATCAGAGAAAAGGTTCAACTGAATGAGACAAATGCTATTTTCGGGGTCTTATTAAGATGAATCTTCATCCATTCTGTCTTTGACTATTTCAGTCTTTATTAATTTGAAAAGTATTGTTTAAATGTTTTCAGTGCCTCCAAACCTCAGAGTGAGGGACTGCAGAAAAGGTTACAGTCTGTATCATCATCAAAAATGTACTTTGAGCCAATAACTGTTAATGTCGATGTAGGGAGAAAGGGGAGACACGACAGCAGTCCTATCTACACAAGGGGGCGCTGCAGAAATCTTTTTGGAACCACTAAAATTGAATTCTGCTAAACCTACTTCAGGTTACTTAAGGTTGCTTTTGTCATTTGAATGTGAAAACATTCACAGGGTGAAGTGAGTGTGTTTTAGACTGAAGCATGTTCCTAAGAACAGAACTGTTCTCTCATCAAGGTTTACATGCTATATGCGTGCCTTCAGTGGAATCTTCATTATAAGGTTTGTAAACACTCGTGATGTGTGTTTAATGTCTGGTGTTTTTGTATAACAGAGCAGTAAAATTAATCATACTTCAGATTCTGGAGCAGGAATCAAAGAATCGGGTACAAGGCGTAGCTGGCAATGCCACAGGTGTTTGTTCCATCTCTGATCATCCTCATGTAGCCGCCTTCACCCCAGCCTGAACCCCAGCTGTTAAAAAGAAAGAAAGAAAAACAGATCATCTTTTGTATAATGTACTACTATAAAATATCACGTTTCATTTTCCTGTTGTTGTTCTGACCTGTTCTTGATGATCCAATAGTCCTGGCCTCCTTCAGTACCATATCCAACCAGCAGGACAGCGTGACTCAGATTGTTGGGGTTACAACTGGGCTCATCATATATCCCTGTAACAGTTGACACAGCATTTACATATTGTTCATAAGTCAACATTTATTACTGCTATTTAGGGCTAGGTGATGTGTAAAATAATTAGCATTATTTATTGTTTGTGGAATTATTTCTGTCTCTTTACTGGCAAAAAAGAAGTTGACTTCTATTGTGATGGACCAAAATAAATCTAAATTCTAAAAAGTAAAGAACTATAGTCTAATGATTATGTAATAATAATAATCCATTTGGAAAAGTTCTTTCACTTTAAGACAACCATATGCATGATTGCATGCATGATGGTTCTGGTGGGCCACATCAAATGAAGTGTTTGTGTGATCTACAGTATGTAACGTATATAATATTGTATAATTAAATTTGTGGACCTGAGCTGTAAAACAGGAAGCTCGCGTGATCTGCATCAATGGCCACAGTGATGGGACCGATGGTTGCCACAGCGTCAGCCAAGGCCTGCTCGTCTCCTTTGGGGATGAATCTGTAGTCTTTGATATGGGCCACAGCCAGCCTGCTGTCGTAGTAACAGGGCTGGGTGTCCTGTAGAGAGAAAAACTTGAACTGATCTAGGAACACAGTGCTGTAATACTGCTACTAACTGCTGAGGTGGGGATCGAACTGCCAGTCTCACCACTGAGGTGTAGGGATAGGTGTTCGTGGGCTGCAGCCCGTTGTTCACTACATAATCGTATGCGTTAGCCATCCAGGCTCCACTGCAGCCAAAGGTTCCGTACGGTTTGGAGCAGTCCACCAAGTTTTGTTCGCTCAAAGAGACGAGCTGGCCGGTCGTCTTGTACATCTGTCCTTCGATGGCTCCGGTAGTGCTGAAGGCCCAGCAGGAGCCACAGAAACCCTGGGATGATCATTTCACTCACTCATATTAGGTGTTTTCAGTTTTCAGACTAAAGTTAAAAAAAAAGATCAATCCATGCAGCTGTAACCTTATCTTACCTGATCTTTCACCTCCGTGACATAACCCATTTTCCTGTAGTCTACAAATGTGGCACCTAGCTTCTTAGCATGGTAGTGCAGCCTACGGGCAGAAACTGTTTGGCCTCTTTTTGCAAAGCGGGCATCCATTATGGCCCCCTGCAAAACCTGGTACTCTTGTCTTGTCTACATTTACAAAAAAGAAAATTATATTATTAATAAAATCAATAAAGAAAAGAGATTTTAACAAACAGCAATCAAACCCTAGGACGGAAAAATACTTTTTATATCAGGGTATTGTCATTATTGTCAACCCTTAAAATATTTCCTAAAGAATATAATTAACATTGAAGTGCATTTTTGTTTACTTTAGATTAGTATTAGATTTATTAAGTATCTTTTAAATCCTTGATGGACGTTTAAAAATCTGACCCTAAAAAAAGGTTTTTCACTTTATATCATGCGTGTTTCAAAAGTCTTTTTACATCCTAGTATTAGACTTGAAAATACCTGCCGAACTAGTACTTTACNNNTACTTTACTAATTATTACTTTTACTCCGATTATTTTACTCATGCCTATATTTAGAGGAAAAACTAGTACTTTTGCCACATGTGGTTCTCACCAAGTCTCCATATTTGTTCATCGCCATCGTGTATGACCTGATCCCCATTAAGAACCCTTGATTGTTGTCTTCAATCTTGAGCTTGTTGTCCTCCCAGATTGCCCTCCTCTGCAAGTCATCCTGCACAGTAAGATGCAAAATGTGTGGAGGAGGTCAGGTTATTCAGAGCACACATGCGCCGACTGTCATCAGTGTCACCGCGGGGTTTTGTCAGTCTCACCGTGTCATCGTAGCTGATGCCCAGGCTGCTCTTCCACATCTCCCACTCAGTCTGGACCACCTCATCGGAGTCTGAGGCCACATAACTCAACAGTACGGAGAGCAACAGTGCCCTCTGCAGGAAGCTAGCGTTCCTCGCTACAGACGCGAGATTTATTTTCTCAGATTAGTGTAGAGCCAGTGAATAAACTGAATTTAAATAATTGACATAACTGTGGCATGGAATAAATAAATAATTTCACCTCATTAATGATTACAATCATATAAGCAATTTTATATTTGCATAAAACCTTTCGTTTGACAAGTCCACACTGTTTTCTTTTGTATTTTTACTTTTCTAAACTTAAAATGACTATACTTCAACGAATATTTTTACTATATTTCTCTCCTGGATATTGAAGATCTATTATTTAAACTTAACCTAAAATTAGTTAGTTAAATATAATCTTTTTTTAAAATATCCTGTCCATCTTACCTGCATAGATGTGGGGTCGTTTGGTTCCCATGGTCCAAGAGCAGCTCAGGACAGTGAGAGTGTAACAGACATGCCGTCGACTTGCCTTATAAAGCCCTGCAATAACTACATGTTTCCCCCATACTTTTACTGAATCCCTAAATCAACACTTGGCAGCACATACCAAGGAGTCAGTCGACAAAAATACGACATGCTCCTGCTCCTAATACCTCATTATCATTTTTTTTTTTAAAGCGAAAGCGGTAATTTTGTTAATCTCTAAAGAAAATATCTGTTTTGTACGTGAACACAACACCTGACACAAAACCAGCAATGAAACAAAAACACAGCTGGTTTATTGCAGTTAAATGCAAATAAATCACATTTAAGTATTACATTTAAAACTTTTAAAACTAAATTGTATATTTAGAATTCTAATTATCTGTAGTTATCTGTAGTGATTGTTACTTATAAACTATTTAGCCTCTATTTACATTTTTGTTAAATTATTTAAATGTATTTAATTTAATTTAATTTAAAAATCTGTCAGGTGATTTGCATGTTATTTTCAAAAAGAATTTTAAAAATCACTTAAAAATTATCTGCATTGCTAAAGATGAAGTCTGTACATTTTTTAATTTATAAGAATAGAATTGCATCATTTAGGAAAATAATGTATTCATTTAGAGCTTTTAGTGTGAAAAATTAATGACATTTTTGTCAGAATTATGACGTTCGTTATCTTTTATCTTATAAATGTTTGTTTTATTTGAGTTTATGATTGTATAATCAGAATTATACTCCCTTAAGTATTTTCACTTCTGAGAACTTGATCTTGGCCATATTTTAGTAGATATACTAATAGTATTTTTTATTTATACAATACGTACATTTTTAGAAGAAGTAATTATTTCCCCTAAATTAAATTGAGATGTTTTTAAGTTTTGTTCTGTAGGTTTTTCTTCAGATTTATAAAATAAAATTATTAAAACAGAGTGACAGGGTTTGTTTCACAACCCCTTAAATCGCATCCATCCGGGTGATAACTGTGACTGTGAGCAGCAGCGACCCCTGGCGGCTATTTGTGCTGCCGTGTGTAGCACTGACTGCAGCAGAGGATGAGCTCAGATCTTCGGTCTGGACGGTCTCCGCCGCCAACACCCAAACACAGTGCGGTAAAAACAGGCGAGTGTCGCTGAGCTGAGCCTCTCTCTAATGAGTGAGTCGACGGGAGGAGCCATGAGTCACCAGTGAGTGAACTCTGTCTGCACCATGTCGTTCAAGGTAACACGGCTTTTTGCATCCGTCATGTTGTAAATACATGGTTAGGGCCTGAGGGGGAAAAGAGCAGAGATCACAGACCGATCCTGGCAGAGTGGAGACTTATTAGTGATTTTCAGAGATGTGTCCATGTCCAGACCAGAGGTTTTTTTAGTCACTAAGAGGATCGTGGATTTCAGAATTTGTGTATTGTCATTTACATTCACGTTCTCCGTGTGTCTGTGTAGGTGTGTTCTCTGCAGTTGTCTTGTCAGAAGCATAAACACTGACCTTGTCAAGTCCAGTGGAACCTCGTTTTGGTTCACATGAGGATCCAGTGAGCTATGACTGAGAGTCAATAGATTAAAGGTCCCTTCAGAGGGCATGGTGACATTTTTTACATGATATATCCTCACATATGTCTTAAAAAACAAATTAATTCATCTATATTTTAAAGAACAGTGGCACAACAAGTACTTGCTGTATCTTTCAAATGTTTTTGAGTAGAACATTTGAGTAGCTTAGTTTTGATTCCAAATATTAAACCTGGTACTAGGCCAGAGTTAATGAATGAAAAACATGTTTATTTTATACAAATTTCACAGTGGGCACTCCTGTCTTCATCTTTCCATCTGTTTAGGGCCCTTCAGTCTGAAACTGTTGAAATGTCCGTTTGATACCTCCCTTGTGTCTTTTTCTAAGATTAACATTGACTCTCAGTCATTAAAAGGCCCAGGTTCATATAAACCTGAATACCTTTTACTGAGGCCTGTAGTCCTTGAATTTAGGTCTTCATCTCCCTGGTGCTCTATATCACCGGGCAAGAGACCACCGACATCTCTCATCTTTTTTCTGTGGGTCAGGACTAAAGCAGTGGTCTCAAACTTGTGAGCTGAAGACCAACTAAAGCATTTGATGGAAAAAATGTAATGTTTTTTATCATCTAATCAGTGACCAGATGTAGGGGGGTTCGTGGGCCAGAAGTGGCCCCCGAGCCGGATGTTTGAGACCTGTTTTAAAATGTATTATCAAACTACAAATTACTGCTTATATTGCCGCTGTGGGTCGTGAACTTATACAGTAACGTCTGTTTTGAAAACCTGTGTGTGTTTTCTGGGTCAGTGGTTGTGGATTTGGTTTAGTAAATAATGAGTCGTCAGCAAAGAGGTTGATCCTCTCATTCATAACCACACATTTATGCTCTCACAATCGGCCCTGTGTTGTTTTCATTCTCTTCTCTCTATTGTCAGTGTGAATAATGCAATAATGGTGGTCTGAGGTCAGTGTTTGTTGTGTGTATTTACTCTCTAGAAGGAGACACCCCTGGCTAATGCTGTGTTTTGGGCAGCAAGAAAGGGAAACTTGGCTCTTCTTCAGCTGCTGCTCAACAGCGGCCGCGTGGACTCCGACTGCAAAGACAGTGTAGGAACGCTGCATGTCCAGGCCGCTCAGCTGCACGTTTTAACCATATACCATCCGTGGTAGGGAGACGGAGGTCTGGTGAATGTGTGTGCGTGTGTGTGTTTGCATGCGTGTGTGTGTGTATGTTTGATATTTAAATCATGTTGAGTGTGTGACATTGAGGAAAAGAACTCCATGTGTTATGTTGGAGAGAATACTCTTAACTTTCAAAGCTCCGTGAGTATACTCATGATTCTACTTTTATTGTGATACTTTGACGACTGACATGTTTCCCAGCAGTATGGCACCACAGCACTGATGGTCGCATCATACAGCGGCCATTATGAATGTGTCAAAGAACTCATCATGCAAGGAGCTGACATCAATTACCAGAGAGAGGTAAAAACAGAGTTTTGTCTTGGTCTTTTTTGTGACTCCTGTGTCTCTTTTATGCTCAACACAGATGTCTGTAGTGTACTGGTCTACTTGTCCACATTAATCCCACCTTGGCCAAGGAAAAATGTTCCTTTTTTATATAGGTCACTGATGTACAGGTACATGATATTTGTCCCAGATCCGCAGTCCCCAGTTGCTTGGCCTTGGTCATTTGGTGCTGGGCCACAGGGAAAAATAAACAACATGTTCTTTGCTTTTTATTGATTTTTACTTCGATAATCAGTAAAAAGTTCTTTCCCATGAGTCTTTCTTGATTACAAATATAAAAGCCTCTTATCTGATTCGATACTTCGGTCGGTATGGTCCGATGGGTGGCAGTCGTGGAGACTGCTCCCCCTGCGATCCGGTAACCCGGTACCGGATAAGTGGACGAAAATGGATGGATGGACATTTACAGGGCAAACCTCTCTATATATGTGGTGTTCATGGCTGATGAACTCTTTATAGATTCAAACTTTGTAATTATTTTAATTTTTATACTTTATTTTTTATACCTGTATATAATAATATTGTCTTCGATTAAACCATTCAATAACAAAGGTCAGAGACCTCTGCCCTATAGAGACAAAGCAGGTGTTAGTGAGAAACCTGCAACCTAAGCAAAAGCCACAGAAAAGGAATTGATCCAGTCAAGAAACAGAGAGGCACTAAACCTCTCTATCCTTCACCCTCGTCCCCACCCTTAAAACAACCACTCATTTTGACCGTGAAGCTTTTATAGAAATCAATCGAACAATTCCTGTATGAACTTCCTGTTCTCTGTTAACCATCATTTTCTTATTTGTCTGCTAAACTGAGTCAGGTTTTTCACACATTTTTTAATACTATAACGTTATGTAAGTGGTATTTACAAGTTTTGTCTCTTTGTCTATGGGTCTCATTTGATATCACCTTGATGATTTTGAGGATGATAAATTATATAATTACCAGGCTTTAATTTAGGAATGTCATCACATTTGTTTTTATAGTTGTAGTAGTTTTTGAAAAAAAAAAAAAGTACTATTATTAATGTAGTATATTTTGTTATCATCCTCTCCAGACAGGTTCTACTGCCCTGTTTTTTGCCTCACAGGAAGGTCATCATGACGTTGTGAAGCTCCTCTTTGAGTTCGGTGCTTCCACTGAATTCCAGACAAAAGTATGTCATAGAGACACGGGCCACAATATTCTGCTGCAAATAGAAATGGGACAAGATCGCCTATGTCCCCTGACTGTTGTGCAGAGATACAGTAGTAGAATTAAAACACCTTAAGACTGTGGTGTTGATGGTGACTTCAGATTCTTTGACTCTTTCCTGTGGCAGGACGGCGGCACAGCTCTCACTGTTGCTGCGCAATACGGACACTCTCAGGTGGTGGACATCCTACTGAAGAATGGAGCCAACGTTCATGACCGGCTGAACGTGAGGCGCATTCATTCTTCATTTGTGTTGACAAATTGACTGGTGGTTTGTTGTCTCGGCAGCCGGGAACCAGCCACTCAGGTTTCTTACTGCTGGATCAGAGCAGACTGACGTTCAGCCTGTGGAAAAGTACCATGGCACATAAACTCACAATCACACTGTTTGATTTGGAATTTAGATGCAGTTATGTGCTGAAGATTGGTGTTAACTAAAAGGGGACATTGTCTCTTGGATGTCTTATTGAAAGGCCGAGGACAAATCTGGTTCAGTGAACACAGTGTTCTTTAATGTTCCAGGATGGTGCCACACCTTTGTTTCTCGCTGCCCAGGAGGGTCACGTGACTGTGATTCGTCAGCTCATTGCCATTGGTGCGAAGGTTAATCAAGTCAGGGAGGTAAGGTGGCTGCCTCTTTTTTTCCACTTCCTGATTTCCAATAACAAAAAGTAAGAATGAACATGTTGTTATAGAGATGGCATGTTTGAATCTACCTAGATGTGCTTCAGTATTAACAACTTCTGCAGAGGTTTGAGTCCAGGTTTGATCTCTAGTCTGATCTGCTGAACATTTCTAGCCACAAACACACACTCAGGGGTGGAGTGAGGATATGTGACCACAAAACAGTACCAGTACGAAAACAACCTAACACAACATGGACCTTTTAAACTTTAGATCATCTTATCATGTTACAGCAACATGATCCACCTGTATGATCCTCTCAGAGCTCCATTACTATGTGTATGTACGACATTTACACAGTAAGACACACTCACAGACACACAACCTGCAGTCACCTGTGAAAAATTCGGTTGTGAGGAGCAGACATGACATCAGTGTGTGTTTGGCTGGACCAGGGTGGATGTTATTACCAGGTCTGTACATTTAATGCCTCCAACAGCTTAGTAGTTCGCTTTTTCACACATCTCCCTGCATCTCTCCTGCTGTTCATCCACATGTCCTCCAGGATGGCACTGCCCCCCTGTGGATGGCAGCCCAGATGGGACACAGTGAGGTGGTAAAAGTGCTGCTGTTACGTGGTGCAGATCGAGATGCTGACAGACAAGTAGGTTGATAAATTACTGTTGTTCACAAGTGGTAATTCATTGATGTTCTTAATATAGCAAATGGCATTTGATGAAATCTTTAAAACTCTCCAATCTCTCTCTCTTCAGGATGGATCGACAGCATTATTCAAAGCAGCCCTCAAGGGACACAGCCATGTCATTGAGGAGCTTCTCAAGTTTTCTCCTTCTCTTGGTCTTCTCAAGGTATTACAGTGTTGTTAATTGTGACCTTTCTTATTTTTTGACAGTAGCCGAATAATGATCCTTAGGTTTACTTATTATCTGCTTTAATGTTACATCACATAAACAATTGTAGTGCATCACATAAACAAATGTAGTGCTGGTTACACTACATTTTTACATAAAAGGCAATAATATTTGTTGTGACGTAAAGTTCAATCTTTAATGCTCTACATTGATTCTCTTTATTGGTTCCCAGAATGGCTCATCTGCCCTTCATGCTGCAGTTATGAGTGGAGATTTGCAAAGTGTTCTGCTGCTGCTGGGGGCCAGTGCAGACCCTGCTTTACCAAACAGGGTGAGGCCTCTAGATTTAACTACAGACTAAAGACGTGAGACATAAAACACATCTTTTCAACTTTGCCCTTGTTTGTTTTACAGAATAACGAACTTCCTGGGGATTTAACAAAGAACGAACGCCTCCTTAAGGTTTTATGTCCTAAACTTTCAAGTGGCAACAGCTGATGACAATCCTAGCCCCCAGCCTACCTTCCTGCCTGCTCCACTTCAATGTCCTAGGGAAATAAAGTAACAACTCCAATGTGTCAAATCTACTACAATACCACCGTTTACTGTTCATGGTGCTTGCTTTTCATTGCTGTAAAATGATAAATAAACCTGGACGAAGTACAGAAAAACACATAATGTAACTGGAAAACATTTGTCTGCCACATGCATCGTGTCCTCTCTGCCGGTGTTGTACAATGTACTTATTTATTTATTTATTTATTGTATTGGTATATTTTTGGATATATTTTGCAAACAATTTATTTGCATTACCCTTTTTAAAAAACGTAATAAAGTGTAAATTTGTTTATTAACCACGGAAGTGACGGTGTTGTTCTTAGGAACAAAAGTTGAATATAATACCATTCAAAATGTTCTTGATTCAAGTAGTTTTATACAACATAAGTTTAATGAAATTAAAAAGCAAACATAATAAATAGCAATGGTGTTAGAAAATAGAAAACATACAGATGTGGAACTAGGTTAACTGGAGATTTTAGACAGACTTAATGTATGACAGTGAGCACAAATGGTCCAATATGTGACTCCGTGCTGGAGTGTACCCCTCCCTGGTCTGACGAGGGCCTGAGCTCCTGAGGGCTAAAAATGTTAATAATGGAACTATCCAAAAGAAATGCAATTAGTGCAAATGCTTTAACTTAATACCTCAATAGTTCCTTAAATCTTAGTAGTATATATATAGTATATTTCTGTACCCTGATTCTAGCCCCAAATTAGCAATAATATTTTATGAGGAAATGATTGGCTCTATTTACCAAAAATGGTATTTTAATATTTATAATGCTGGACAAATGAAAATGAAAAAAAAATCATGCTTGGTCGATGCAACGGTTATAAACTTTGAATTTTTATCGGGACTGGTGATAAGCTGCAATAAATGAACGCATGATGTTAATCAAATATCAGAGGGAAAAGAAAAAGAAGGAAAGGAAATGAGACAGTAGATAGAAGCACAGACAAGAGACCGAATCTACAGATAAAAACATCTTTGTTTATTCAATTTTTTCTCAGGCTTGGTCTGAAAAAAACTTTTAAAAAAATTGCATTAATTATTTGCGGCTAAATGTTTTAGAATAATTTTGTTTATGTTTTTTATTAAGTTTTAATGATAAATGTTAAAATTGCGCATTGGTTATGAATGAAGGTAAAAGACAATAAACAAACAACCAAAATCCTCACATGAAAATACGCAGAAGAGTGACGGTGTCACGTGACATATGCGGAAGTGACAGTCAACTTTTGTTAAATCAGGAAGAGAAACTCGTCTTTGTTTTCAGTTTACTGTCGTTTTTTTAAAAAGAAATGAAACACGCGTGAAGAAGGTGATATTTAATTTAAAATTCACTCATAACAACACTCAAAGTTTTAACCGACGTAACATACTGCAAACTTATGGCTAGTGGCAGTTTACAGGTGAGTGTCACTATTGTTGTTCGTGTGATTCACTAGTAAAGATTAAAAAACGAGTGTAAGGAATACGAAACGTTTATTTGTCTTTAAAAGGTATATAATATAGTATATGAATATTCGAAACAAATATTGGATTAACTAAAACGACTATATGATAATTATTTATCATGACGCTATTTTTTTATCGTATTTTCTTAATATTTCAACTGCAGTCTTTTAACAGTGTAGTCACATTTTATTTTTATTTTTGTGCGTAGGATTTTAACCGTCCAACATAAACTGATACTTCTAATATTGTCACAGAAAGCCATAGATCTGGCCAACAAAGCTTCGACAGAAGACAAGGCCAAAAACTATGAAGAGGCTCTCAGATGCTACCAGCACGCAGTGCAGTACTTTCTCCATGCTGTCAAATGTAAGGAATCGTGCTTTAAAATTCAGTTTGTGTTTTTGATGCACAGTAATTGTGTTTATATACGTGTGAGTGTGTTGATTGGCTCAATTTCTACTTGTTGTACTAATTTGTATTTTACTGCAGAGGGCATGAAAAAGATCATTAAGGTTTGACGGTTGTGCACGCCTTAAAATGTGGAAAATTGGCCACCTGCGCAGTATTGCCCTTTGTTTTTGTGTAGCAACACTGCCCTCTACCGGTACATCGGGGTATAAACGTTTTCCGAGTGAAACAAAACCTTGTAGATTGCAGTAAATGCAACCGAAAGGATACAGAGCTTTTATTTAAATGTAAAGAAAAATAAATAAAGTGTGAGTGAGCAATGAGGATAATTAATTATTAAAGTTTGTCCTTGCACCCAGGTTGTGTTTCATGTCGCCATAACCTATGCTAATTGATTTAGTATATATTGGTTTCCAGTAACACTGTACTTGATGTATGGTTTGACTCTTCCTGTGTAAAAAGAGTCTGTGTGAAGTGAACTAACTTTCTGGAACATCCTCCCAAATACATTCATAGTTTATACTGGTTTTTTATGGGTTGTTGCTGCAGATGAGATTCAAAGTGAACGGGGAAAGCAGAGCGTCAGAGAAAAGTGTCAAGATTACCTGGCCAGAGCTGAGCAGCTCAAAGAGTTTCTAAAGAAGA